CCACAAGAGTCTTGTTGTGGCATTAAGACCATGAGAAAGGTTCAAATACGGGAAAACAAAGATAGATTCCAGTCAAATGACAGTTACAAAATTAGGCTAATAATAATGAAAATAATGCAACATGCATATATATATATATATATATATATATATATCCATATATATGTTTATATACATTTGTATATATGTATACATATATATGTATACACACACAGACACCACCCATAATCAAATTGAAAGTAGTCCATTAAAAATAAAATGTATATATATTTATGTACATACATATATAAATATAAATTGTATATATATGTGTGCGTCCATATATACACATATATACACATATATATGTATGTATATATGAGAATATACACACCCAAACAACCATTAGCAAACTGAAAGGAGTCCGGTAAAAGTTAAATACAGTAATTGAACCAACAAATAAAGCAAATCTATATTCACTTGTTAAGAACAAAACTATAGCTTACACTTGAAAGCAAAACTAAATCATCTAGCCAAGGAGGATTAAACTAATGAAAATAAAACTAACAAATATATTGATAGGAAAGTAAAGCAGAGAAAGAAAGTATTGATGTGTAGATTTAAATAGAGGGAATTGAAGATGACTTCTATATGTTAGAGGTTAGCTACAGGGGAAAAGAAAGGCAGGATAGGCAAACAAAGGAATAAATGGGAAACCATATAATAGGTTGAAAAAAATTTAAATTAAAATTATAAGAAAGAGGAAAAAAATGTGGAAGAAGAAGAAAACAAACAAACCAACAAACAAACAATAAAAAAAAAAATCAGCCAAACTTCACAGTGTAGAGCCAGATGTTTATAGAAACAATAAAATGTGTGAGTGAAATTACACATATACATATACATATACAACAATTAGGAAAAACAAGAGTCCAAAAAAAATAGGGAAAAATAGTTTGACCTGTCACACACAGAAAACCAAAAATTACATCTACCAGAAGAATAGTAATTAAGGACAAACAGGAAAACAAAACTAGAGAATAAGGCCAATTGAGGAGTAAAACAATGAAAATAAAACTAATAATACATGATAGGAAAGGAAATAAAGAAGAGAAATAATGCATATGCAAAGGCAAAAGAGGTGGAAGAATGAGATTTATATATATATATATATATATAGATTAACCAAAAGGGGGAAAGAAGAGGAAGATAGGCAAAGAAAGGAGTAAATGTAGAAAGCAATAAAAATGTTAAAATATTAAAGAAATTTAAGGTTCAAAAGGGGGAACAAATGGAAGAAGACAATAAAAACGAGAAAACAAAACAAAACTCGAGAGAGCAGCAAAAGCCCAAGGTAGAAACAGAGGTGGATAACAAAAATAAAAAGTGTGACCGAATATACACATACACGTATACACCTGTAAGGAATATCAAAACATTCCAAGAAAAATAAACTGCATTAAACTGATCAAGCAAAAAAAGGAAACCAAAAGTTGATCTACCATAACAAAATTAACTAAAGAACAAGCTGGAAAACAAAAACTACAGCAAGGTCCTAGTTGGGGAATAAAGCAGTTAAAATAGAACTAACAAATATGTTGAGAAAATGGAAAAAAAGAATAGATATGGAATCTTAAACAGAGGTAGATAAAGATGATTAATATACAGGGGAAAAGCAGATTAGGAATAACAAAGAATAAAAGTATAAAAAAAATTAAGAGGTTTAAAAAGTTAAAAATTAGAAGAAGACTGAAGAAACAATAAAAGGAAGATTCTACAGAACTGCAACAGGCCAACATAGAAGCAGAGGTTTATAACAGGAATAAAAATGTGAGAGAGGAAATTTTAAAAAAGATGCTCAAAAGCTTCATTTGACTTCATAGTGCCAATAAAATTGGCAACTACAATAGTGGGAGTGAGGGTGGGAAGAAAGAGAGGAAAAAATCCAAAAGAATCTACAGAGCAAGTCAAAAGAGAAGAACAATGCATATTTATCTTGAGTCATTTCTGCCAGAGTCCTTTCCCTCACTTGGATTCACAGTCCACCTCACCTCCTATGATACCCTTCATCATTGTGCTGATCTCTGGACCTACTTTTCAGGCAGCTCACAATCTAATCTTGTTCCACTCCTGTGTGTTCTTGCTCCAATATCCACAGGTATCAGAACTAGAGCCTTTTCTTTTGTTGTTGTTGTTTGTTTGTTTGTTTGGAGGAGCTGTCAATGACCTTCTATATATTCCATAGATACAGTCTTCCTAGTTGATAGTGTGGATTTAGTCGGCAGTTTGGACAAAGAGTTGGAAGGTTCTGGGTCTTCTTCCTTAGCTACACTGCCGCTGGGTTTCAATTGTGGTTTTATTTCCATCTCTGCATGTGGTTTGTCCACAGGGATTTGCACCTGAGGTGGCCCTGGAGGCTTTGGGTTTGCCCATATGAGGGCCAGGTGTGGAGGTGGTGTGGCTGCTTGGGTCACAGGGGTTCTGACATAGCCAGCCACTCAGAGGTTTGCAAATTAGGACAGCAGGTAATATAGTGCTCTAGAAAGGTATGGCCATCAGTATTGGCCAACATGCTCCAGTATTCTTGCATGGAGAACCCACTCCCAGATAGAGAGTCCTGCCACAGTCTACAGGGTAGAAAAGTGTCTGAAACTACCCAAGACCCTGAGAGAAAAGATGAAAGAGTCTTTAGCACTGGCAGCTCTGCCTGAGTGAGAGTTGAGCATGAAGGTGACACACCTGCTTGCCTTGTGGGGACCGAGGCAGTGCCAAGTTTCCAGGGACCTGGACTGCCTCCACAGAAGGAATTATGGTGCTATCAGAATCTTTCTTTGAACTTATTGTAGCTGGCAATCAGAAGGCCTCTTTGGCTAGTATTTCTTCATAGTTACATGCATTCAGGCACTTCAAGAGTTCTCTTGCCTGAAGTCCTTCTCTGTCATTGAGTGTGCCAGGCAAATAGAGGGCGGCCCCCAGGCTGGGGTCATATTCTGTAGTTTGGAGTATCAGTCACCTAAAGGAGCACCCTGGGTGTAGTCTTACTCAGTAGTACAGGGATTAAAGTCCTTGGTGAGCCAGGCTCTCTATTATTCAGTTGTGATAAAGGCATGTGGGGAGCAAGAGGCTAGGGTGATGGTTCCACCCTAAACATGACTCAGTGGTGTCACCTTCTTTCCATGGCTGCCTGGCTTTCCTCCACAAGCTTTTCCCACACAATTTTCTCATTTGAACACTCCATCAATTTGTCTATAACCCGTAGACTGCAGACCATGGGCAGGGATTTCTCCACAATCTCTATGAAGCTGCTGCACCTTCTAAAGGACCTGTGTCCCTCTATGGAGTGTGAATGGCTGTGGAAAGAACTGTCTCATTCTCACTCCATTTAGGCTGCCACAGATCAACTGTTTGACTCTCAGCCTGAAGTGTTTCTCCTCTGATCCAGACAGTTGCTCCCATGTGGAGATCGGACACCTACTTCAGGTCTCCCACCTGCTGAGGGCAGGTCCAGTCCTACTAACACTCATGTTTCCCCCTTAGTTCTTTCATCCTACTGAATTTTTGTGGTTCCATATATTATTTCCTCTGTTCAGGCAGTCGTGTCTGCCCTCAGCTAAGGTTCTTCAAGCACTTGTGTCTGAAGGTGTATTCCTGATGGACTCTTGGACAGAGATGTACTCCCTGTACACCTCCACCTCCACCATCTCCGTTTCTCAACTTTTGACTATTAGAAAAAATACTGCTATGAACATTCATTAGTGTCCTAGGTGAGTAAGCAACCAGCGGACATCAGGAGGAGAGCACTTCATGGAAACCAACGGAAATCCCACAAAGTCAATAAAGACTGCCTCTCAGGGGTACATCTCAGGTTGGCTGAACCTGCTAGACAATTAGGAACACAGGGACCATGGTGAAGGACACAACTCATCCCCCTATCTTCCAGAGCCAACAGCCTCAAAGAGAGAACTTAGGAGCTAGATGGGTAGGCATGATTACTCAGTGTTTCCTCCAAGAAGCTGAAAGCTTGTGGTAGCTATTCATGGAAATGCATTCCACCATGGTCTCAATTGTGATGTAAAACCCAAAGGAGGTTCTGGAAGGAAAACAGGATGAGAAATTTGTGAGGGTGCATGTTGAGAAGAACTTTGCTCTTGAGGCTCACACACCACTGGGCAAGCACCACCCCTTCCTTCCTGGGAATACTAATCAGCCACAGGTGGTGATTTCCTTCTTGGGGTCATGCAGCACAACCCAAAGCATGCATTTATCTCCCTCATCCACAACACCATGTTAAAATGAAGCCTGGCTATTATACCTAGGGTGGTGACCATTAGTCCTCGAGTTGAAACAAGACAGTTCCAAGTGAAGCAAGAGCAAGTGGATGTATTCAGTGCATTCTCACAGCTTGAGGAAAGGGGTTTCAGATTGGAGACTAGAAAACTGAGGAGACCTAGATGAAGACAGAGAAAAGGAGGTGGGATGGAAAAGGTTTCTCATAAGTGACCCAGAATTGAATGATCTACAAGGTGCATTACCAGTTGTAGGAGGAAAGTGAAATCATTCTAATTTCCATAGCCTAGTTATCATGGAGTGATTTGAGGCAAGATAACTAAAAGTAGATAATGTAACATGAGAGAGAATTGAATGAAAGGCTGAAAACCGGCTGTGAGGCTCGGTTTGGAGGAGACACACTATCCTTGCCATGTGACAAATCTGTGTTGACTTAGAGAGATGAGGATGGCAGGTGAGCTTGGCGGGCTCTTTAGGATTATAAAAAATGCCTCATTTCTGCCACCAAATTATCTGAGCTGCTCCACATCCACTCTCAGAGTTTTCAGAATGAGGCTTTGTGATGCCAAGGCTCATGGAGGGCTGCTATTGGCTGGGGAAAGGACCGACTGATGTCATAATCATAAGGGTGTGGTCCGCTATGTATAGGCATGCTCAGTGGCTCTGGAGCAGACCACTGGGAGTCTTCAAAATGAATAAGGTGGTCTGGGTGGCCCTGTCCCGTGCCATGCACCATGGCCTCTGAGGAGCTGTTCAAGGTTGAAAGGATACTTGATAAGAGGAAAAGCAACAAAGGGAAGATGGAGTATTTAGTTCAGTGGAAAGGCTACAACAGCCAGGACGACACCTGGGAGCTAGAGCAACACCTGGTGAACTTCGAGGAGTGCATCCACGACTTCAACCGCTGCCACAGTGAGAAGCAGGATGGTGGCACCTTCTCCAGAGCCAACCGGACCTCTGTGAACAATGGCCAGAAGCGGATCTCCAGATCCACCAACAGGTACTTCTCCAAGGCTGCCCCAAAGGCCCTAGTGGTGGGCAAGGAGCAGGAGGCCAAGAGCAGCCTGCTGGTTACCACCAGCCAGAAGTTCAGGAAGAGCCCCATGCCAGGCCTGTCCACCCACAAGAACACGGACCTGGCCCAGTCTGACATCAGGATACTCGTGCCCAAGTGTCCCATCAAGGCCAGCACCGCGGTGCACAGCTTTCAGGACGAGAGCCCCGAGAAGCTGGACCCTGTAGAGCAGGGGCTGGAGGACACAGCTGCCATGAAGGCTGAGGTCAAGAAGCCAGGTAGGGGCCCTTCTGGGCTCGGTGGTGGTGCAGGCATGGATGGGGAGCTGGCCATGGATACACCCGCTGGTGCAGCAGGCGATGGCCCGGTGAAGGCGGCCACAGCAACGGGTCTGGCCGTGAATGGGAAAGGCACCTCCCTCTTCATGGATGCCTTAATGCCTAACGGGATGACCTCCCTGCAAACGTCAGTCACAGGCTTGATGGCTGGGAAGAGGAAGTTCATCGAGGACAGGCGAGAACAGCCCTTTGACAAGCTGCTGCGCTTGGACATGCGGCAGACAGCGCCTCCAGGTACCAGGACATCATGGTCCGGAAGCAGGATGGCTTCACTCACATCCTGCTGTCCACCAAGTCCTCCGAGAACTCGCTGAACCTGGAGGTCATGAAAGAGCTGCAGAGAGCACTGAGAAGGGCCGGGGCCAACGGCAGAAAGCTGGTGCTTCTCAGCGCCATGGGCAGCTTCTTCTTCTGTGGCCTGGACTTCGTTCACTTCATCCGGAGCCTGACAGATGACTGCAAGAGGGAGAGTGCCAGGATGGTTGAGGCCATCAGAAGCTTCGTGAACACCTTCATCTGGTTCATGAAGCATATTATCGTAGCCGTAAATGGCCCGGCCATTGGGCTAGGAGCATCCATACTGCCTCTTTGTGACCTGGTCTGGGCCAATGAAAAGGCGTGGTTCCAGATGCCCTATACCACCTTCGGACAGAGTCCAGGTGGCTGTTCCACGTCATGTTCCCCAATATTATGGGAGGAGCATCTGCCAATGAAATGCTGCTCTGCGGGCGGAAGCTAACGGCACAGGAGGTGTGCGGCAAAGGGCCGGTCTCCCGGGTTTTCTGGCCTGGGACTTTCACCCAACACGTCATGGAACACATCAAGGAGCTCGCCTCTTGCAAACCTGTCGTACTGGAGGAATCCAAGTCCCTTGTGCGCTGCAACATGAGGTTGGAGCTGGAGCAGGCCAACGAGCTGGAGTGCGAGGTGCTGAAGAAGATCTGGGGCTCGGCACAGGGCATGGACTCCATGCTCAAGTACCTGCAGAGGAAGATCGACGAGTTCTGATAGCCGGGCTGCCCGACCTCACCTGGCTGCACTGCGCGGGACCTCACAGCCCAGGCCAGACCCGCCCGGACCTCTCGTTTGGAAGCATGATTTGAGACAGCCAAACTATGTATTTCCAAGGAGTTTTTAAGTACTGTAACTTTATTTATTTATTTATTTTTTTATTTTTTATTAGTTGGAGGCTAATTACTTTACAATATTGTAGTGGTTTTTGTCATACACTGAAATGAATAAGCCATGGATATACATGTATTCCCCATCCCCATCCCCGCTCCCACCTCCCTTTCCACCTGATCCCTCTGGGTCTTCTCAGTGCACCAGGTCTGAGGACTTGTCTCATGCATCCAACCTGGGCTGGTGATCTGTTTCACCCTAGATAATATACATGTTTCGATGCTGTTATAAATAATTGCAAAACTCCTTTGTCCACATGTAATTATTTTATGCTTAATACACACACAAGTGTAAAAATATAATGGTGAGCTCTGGGCTGCGCTTTGAGCTCTAATTTTTGTATCTTCAGCTAGTACTGTCTAAAAAAATAAAAAACTGTGCTTTCTTGGTTTGGGTGCTAGTAAAGTCTGAAAGAATGTTTGTTTTCCCTTGTTTTTTTCCTTCTGGAAGCTAAGAAAGACCAGTTAACCAGCCTCACCGTCCTCACCCCAAATCGAAAGATGGAAAGATCTGAGATGTGCCCTTATCTCCAAGATGTCCAAAGCCTTAGCAATCAAAAATTCTAAATCAAATGAAAGACTTAATTTTAGGATGAGTACTTCTAGTTAAACACCCACTGATGGACATAGCCCCAGAGTAAAATAAACCTGGTATCCATTCTGAGATATCAGTTGATTGTTCACTCTTTTTAAATGTTTGGTTCTTGCACAGTTAACAGGAAGAAACCACTCTCTCTAGGGGAGAGCTTTTTTTGCAGTATTAGTGACTCAATCACTAGATTCAGTATGGTATCTTAAGTTATAAGTTAAACTTAGCAGGTTTATAATTAGTTTTTCTAACCCTTTTGAAAAATAACTACATGAGTGCTTTTTGATATTGGGAGAACTATTACCTTATATAGAGTTTTGGTTTTCTATTTGCAGATATGATCAGTGTATTACACCAGAAATAAAAAGTATTTTTATGCTTCTAAAGTGTAACTTTTAGGTTTATTTAGAACATATTTTATTTAATAACTTAAAATACTTTTGGCACACTATTAAATGCAGAAACTCCTTTTTGAGAAAACTCCTTTATTATATTGACATTTCATGTTCTTGGTCTCTGCTTTCACATCTACACAATATACCAAACATAGGATGTTGTCTGAGAGTGCCCTGTGTCAATAGATGTGCACATTCCTGCCAGGGGTGGGGATGATTCCAGAAAGCCTTTTCCCTGGTCACAGCTTGCAATCATATGGAACGTCTGGAGAGTGAAATAAAATCACTCTGTGATTAATAAAATAAAACTGTCTCACTTGGGCAGTTTTTAAGGTTCTAAGAACCAACCACCTCGCAGCTTCACCAAGAGCTTGCAGAATGAAAATCTGCCTTGACTTAGATTGGTTGTTGCAGTATTTTTCCATCTGTGGGAACTACTTTTTTTATTCCATATTTTGAACTATATATAAATTATACAATATGTAAAGTTTTTATAGAACAAATATTCAGCTGTGAAAACTGGTTAAATAAAACATATTTCTTAACACACACACAAAAACACACAGACACACACACACAAGACTAAATGACTAAGGTTATTGGGAAACCAAAAGGCTCTAGCACAATTGGGAAAGAGCCGAGTCCTTATCCAGGAAGAAAAGATGAAGAACTCCTGTCAACTGAGGTCCAAAAAGGGTTTCAAGGTTTGTGAACCCACCCACACTCAACTTGCCCATTGACACCACCCCATAGACACACTCCTCTTTCCTTGTCTTGCACATGCCCACTCTTGGTCACTCTCCCTCTCCTGAAGCCATCAGTTCCAACCATAACTACCCTCTTCCCCAAACTAATGTCATTCTTTGCTCCTTCTTTTGTTTTCTCCAGGTCACCAGGGTAAGTGTTAGGTAAATAAGCACATTCAATCAAAGCTGACCAAGAAAGCTTCTCAAAAAGCTCTCATCTCAGAGAATCTTAAGAACATCAGAGGCTCAAAGCTCTGTAGCCAGCATGACATGGTGAATGAAAAACTGAATCAGAACAAACTGGAAGAGGCCCCAGAGATCCTGGAGATCCCTGTCAGTCCTGCTGGACAAATGCAAAGCCAGTGACTTCAGAACATGGTTAGAGACCTCAGAATTCTTCGGGAATCTCACTGCTGAAAAGTGGCCAACAGCAAAGACATTGAATCTTCTAGCAACAGCATATATTAATAACATTTCAATAAAATCAACCTGATGTGAAATTATGTGTGTCTCTGAGCTTTCTGCTTCGGGCAGATAGGACAGAGAAAGGACAAGTTTGTGAAGAGAGAGGGAGATGGTTCCTGGGCATTTGGAGAGGATACTAGTATATACAGTGACCTAGAAAGTATGAGGAAGAACTGTGTCCAGACTGAGCCCCTAAGATACACTTCCCATGGGAGAAGAGGAAGAGGCTGTGGTTTTTCTGCATGTGAGTGCAGAGCTGGGAAGTTAGCTGCAGTGCTGTGTCATGAGGTGGGGCCAGCAATGCCATTTGCTAAAAAGCATCAAAGTAGTTACGGTGAAAAGGAAAGATGGAGAAGACCAAACATTTATATTAAACAACTGATAATATGAAAAATCCTTCATTTCAATTTGCCTTTGTTTATTTTGTAATTTATTTTTTCATTGAAGGATAATTTCTGTCTGGGATTTTCTTATTTTGTGGCAGACTTCAATATGACAGTCTTTCTTAACTCACAGTTTCTCTTCAGTATCATCTTACCCTATGTAAACAATTCATTTCAACCTTTCTAACAAACCATATATCTGCTCAAAATAAATTCCCAAATTTTGAGTTCATATGAGAATACCAATTTCTCTATTTTTGAAGGATAATATTCTTGGACATAGAGGTCATTTCGATAAATTATGTACATGTCATTCCTGTAACATGCATTTTTTTCAGTTAAACTGTATAATGAATTGATTTGTAATCTTCATAGTTTTCATAACTGTAACCACTGCTGCATTCTGGAACATTTTCATCACTCCAGCAGAATACACTTCCCAGTTGGCAGACATTTACCACTTCCTCTGTACCTTGGCATCTGCTCCTCTCTTGTCTGTCTTTAGAGACCTACCTAATCTGGAACATATCCATTCACATATACTGATTAATTCAGCTTGCAGGATTCTGTTCTGAGCTTCTTTAAGTAGCATAATCATTTCAGAACTATAAAATGTTATAGTGTGTATAAAAGCATTGTACATTTGATGGCTGAATAATATTTCATTGCATGATTTATTTACTGAATCACCTGTTGATGGACAATTCAGTCATTTCGGCTTTTTTTCCCCCCATTTTTTGTTTAGTTCCTTTTAAGCTTTCATTTTAATATAACATTTTACATATTTAAATGTAATGTTTCTTTTCTGCCTGTATTTTGGGTATCATACACTTTTTACCTTTCATTTGGTAAATATGAGCTATCATATTGATTGTTCTGTATATATTG